AGCTTTTTTTTCGTTTGTGCCCAGTGCCCCTCCTCGGCGCAGTGTCCCGTTGACGCCTCCTGCGGTGATATCCAGGCTTCTGATTCCGATTCCGATTCGCCTGGTGCCAGGGTTGGGGTCGGCCCCGCCATGTTTCGCGTATGCCCCCCCCACGCTCATCACGCCACGCTCACGATTCATTTGCGATCAGCTCGGAGTCATCATACGGCGAAGCGATGGAGCGCTGCAGCAGGATGAAGCGATGGCTTTTGGGTCGCGCGGTTTGCCTAGAAGGGGGATGAGAAGGCCATGTGAGGAAGAGCAGGAAACGCAGTATCAGGAGGATGAGGAGAAGGAGGAGGAGGAGCAGGAGGAGGATGAGGGCGACTTGGACGATGACGAGGGTGAGGAGCAGGATGGGGCAGGATGTGGAGTTTGGCAGGGAAGAGGAGTTTTGAGGGAGGGAGGGAAAGGAGGGAGGATGATGAGTAGGAGGAGGAAAATCAGCATCGGGAAAAGCGAGAGGAGCATGGGACGAGGACGATGAGCAGGAGGTGGTGGAGGAGGACGATGAGCAGGAGTAGGACGAGGACGATGACGAGAAACAGGAGGCCGGGGATGTGGAAGAGAGGAGAGATGAGGAGGCAAAATCGAGGAGACCGAGGGGTTATGACGATGCTGATGATGAAGACGATGATGATTCTGATGATGAATCTGATGATGATGCTGAGGATGATGATGCTGATGATGCTGCTGACGACGATGATGAGGATAATGATGTTGATGATGATGATGATGATGATGATGATGATGATGATGATGATGGTGGTGGTGGTGGTGGTGATGTTGATGCTGCTGCTGATGATGATGCTACCGATGCTGATGCTGATGCTGATGCTGTCGACCATGATGATGCTGATGATGATGATGTTTCTGCTGCTGCTGCTGATGATGATGATGATTCTGATTATGATGATGAGGAGGAGGATGAGGAGGAGGAGGAGGAAGTGGAGGAGGAGGAAGAGGAGGAGGAAGAAGAGGAGGATGAGGAGGAGGAAGAAGAGGAGGAGGAGGAGGTGTAGGAGGAGGTGGAGGAGGAGGAGGAGGAGGAGGAGGAGGAGGAGGAGGTGGAGGAGGAGGAGGAGGAGGAGGAGTTGGAGGTCCCGCTTCTGCTGCTGCTGATCCTCCTGATCCCCGTGTCTTTCTTTCAGCCAAAGTCGCATGCCCCAGCCATGCAGGCAGCCATCGAAGAGATGCACTGCAAGGAGATGCGCACCGACGAGGAGATTGCGGCGGCCAAGGAGGAGGGCAAGGATCCAGGGCAGAAGCCCTGCCCATGCCCCTGCCCTTGCCGTATCTTTCTTCCTACCCAGGTGCCAAGGTCCGCCACCACCGTGTCGGTGCAGCACTCTGTGCGCATCTCTTTCCGGATTTGACATTCGCTCGTTCTGGTCTGCCGTGTTTTTTTGTTTGCGTTCGTTAACCCTACTGTTTTCTCTGGCTTTGGACGTGTCTTGGCGCCCACTGGGAGCGTATTAGGATCCCCTTAGGGCATTCTGGAGGCGTCTCGGGGGCCTCTTCGGCCATCTTGAGGCTCCTTGGAGCGCCTTGCCTAGCTTCCTCCTGCCCTCCCTTTCTCCAGCCCCGTGTCCCCCTCTGCCACCCCTGTGCTCCTCCTCTTGCTCCTCCTCATCACGATCCGCCTCCTGCTCCTCCTCTCCCTCCTCAATTTCATCATCATCATCATCATCATCACCATCATCATCATCATCATCATCATCACAATCATCATCACAATCATCACCATCACCATCATCACCAGCCCCACTATCATTACCATCACCATCATCACCATCACCATCATCACCAGCCCCACTACCATCATCGCCATCATAACATCATTAACATAACATCATCATCAGCATCATCATCATAACCACCACCACCGTCACCATTACCATCATCATCATCATCATCATCATCATCATCATCATCATCATCATCGCCATCATCATCATCAGCATCAGCATTAGCATCATCCTCACCACCACCACCATCACCATCATGATCATCACCATCATCGTCATGATCATCGTCAGCACCACTTGCATAGTCATACTCTTCATTATCAGCATCATCATCATCATTATCGTCACCATCACTACCACCACCAGCACCATCATCACTAGCAGCATCAGCAGGATCTTTATCACCATTAGCACCATCATCAATACTTTCATCCCCATCTTCATCATCATAACCAACATCATCATCACCATTATCATCATTCTCCTCTGTATCAACATCATAAACATCATCATCACCATCAGCATCATCGTCATTATTGTCATCAGTACCAACTTCGTCATCATCATCTTCGTCATCATCATCTTCCTCATCACCACCAGCGCCACCAACCGTATCACCACTATTGTCATCATCACCATCATCACCAAAATCTTCTGCACCATCACCACCAACATCATCAACATCATCATCATTGGCACCATCACCATCATCATCATCACCATCATCACTATCACAATCACCATCGCCATCAGCATCACCATCACCATCACCATCATCATATTCATCATCATCACCATCACCATCAGCATCATCATCATTGCCATTATCGTCATCATCACCATCGTGATCACCATGATCGTCTTCATCGTCATCACCATCGCCACCTTTATTAGCATTACCATCACCATCATCATCAGCAGCATCATCGTCATTATCATCATCATCATCAGCATCGTCATCATCGCTATTATCATCATCACCATCACCATCACCATCAACCTCCTCATCATCATCATTCTAATTCTCATCCCCATCATCATCATTATCATCATCGTCATCGTCATCGTCATCGTCATCGTCATCGTCATCGTCATCGTCATCGATAGCATCGATATCATCATCATCATCATCATCATCATCATCATCATCATCATCATCATCATCATCATCATCATCATCATCATCTCCTTGTCGTCCTTCTTGCCCCTGTTCTCCTCGCTAACCTTCTCTTCCTCCTACATTCCCTCCGCTCTCCTAATGTCCTTGTTGTCCTCCTTCTGGTCCTTTGTCCTCCTCTGCCTCCCCTGGCAGTTCTCCGCATCCTTCGCCTTCACCCCTCCCGTCGTGTTGCTCCTCTTCCGTCCGTCCCCTCTCACACATCGTGTCCCCCCCCTTCTCTGTGTGCATATATGTACATATATATACATATATATATACTTACATAGATACGTACGTACGTACGTACATACATACATAAGACAAACACACATACACAATACATACATCCATGCACACATACACACATCCATCCATCCATCCATCCATCCATCCATACATACATACATACGTACATACATACGTTTCACATACAGACACACAGACATACACATATATACCTGCGTACATACATTCATACATCCATGCGTAATGCATACATGCGTACATACATTCATTAATCCATACACACACGTACACACTTACACACATCCATACATACATGCATGCATGCATACATACATACATACATATATGTGTATATAATGTATGGTCGATTGCCCCGAATAGCCACACGCTGGAGCGGACTGCCTCTGCCTCGCGGCCGACGAAGAGTGCATATAATGTATCTGTCTCCCTCCCCTTGTCCCGGCCCCTGTCCCTCTCTTTCTCTCTCTTTCTCTCTCTCTCTCTTCCCCCCCTCCATCCTTCGTCTCTCCCCTTCTCACTCTGCAGGCTCAGGGTCTTCGCCCCCCTGCACAGGAGGACGAGGCCCTGCCCGACGGGCATCCCGCGGGCAAGCTCTACGTCCAGCGCGCTCAGACCAAGCTGGAGCGCTCGCAGGCGCGGCCGGGCGTCGCCCGGAACGTGGCGGGGCGGGGGGGAGAACGGGCCCTCTGAGTGGCCATCCTGGAAGCCTCCGGGCCCCCGCCGCCTTGTAAGGAGGAGGAGGAGGAGGAGGAGGAGGAGGAGGAGGAGGAAGAAAAAAAGGAGGAGGAGGAGGAGGGGGAGGAGGAGGAGGAGGAGGAGGAGAGGAGGAGGAGGAGGAGGTAGGAAGGAGGAGGAGGAGGAAGAAACGGAGGAGGAGGAGGAGGAGAGGTGGAGGGAGGAGGAGGAGGAGGGAGGAAGAGGAAGAGGAGGAGGAGGAGGAGGAGGAGGAGGAGGAGGAGAAGGAGGAGGAGGAGGAGGAGGAGGAGGGAGGAGGGAGGAGGAGGAGGAGGAGGAGGAGGAGGAGAAGGCCGCCCCCCCCGCTGCCACCCGCCGCCCTTCCCGCTGCTGCGCCGCCGGGAGGAGCTCCGCGACAAGTTCCCCGCGCAGCGCCCCGACAGCAGGCCGCAGGGCGTGAATCTCTACGTCAAGAATTTGGACGAGAACATGGACGAGGCCTTCGTCGCCGCGGCCGCCGCCGTCGTTGTCGTCGTCGCCTTCGCCGCCGTCGTCGTTGTCGTCGTCGTCGTCGTCGTCGTTCCTCGGCGAGGCCTCCTTGCGCGCGCTCTTCGAGACCTTCGGCCAGATCACGTCCGCCCATGCGCCGGCCGACGAGAAGGGGAAGTGTAAGGGCTTCGGCTTCGTCTGCTTCCAGACCCCAGACGAGGCGACCAAGGCCACCCTCCATCCCTCCTGCATCCTCCTCCTCCCCTACCCCTCCCTCCTCTTCTCGCCTCCTCCTCCTCCTCCTCCCTCCCTCACTCCCTTCCTCCCTTCCTCCCTCCCTCCCTCCTGCCCGTCATCCTGCTCGTCCTTCTCATTCCTCCACCCCCTCCCTCCCTTCCTCGTCCCTCCTCTTGCCCTCCCCCCTCCTCTCTCCTCCCCTCCCCTCTTTTCCGGGGTCCTCCTCCTCCTCGTTGTCCCTCTCCTCCTCCTGCCGCCTCCTGCTCTCGATGGGGCCATGCCCACTCCCCTTCCCGCTGCCTGCTCCCAGCAGGACTCGCGCCCCCCCCCCCCCCCCCCCCCCCCGGCGCGTGGCGCAGCGCCTCACCCTCGCCTCCTCCTCAATCCTTCTCCTGCGGCCCCCCTCCTCCTCCTCCTCCTCCTCCTCCTCCTCCTCCTCCTTCTCCTCCTCCTCTGCTCCTCCTTCTCCTCCTCTCGTGCTGCTGCTGCTGCTGCTGCTCCTCTCTCCTCCTCCTCCTCCTCCTCCTCCTCCTCCTCCTCCTCCTCCTCCCCCTCCCCCTCCCCCTCCTCCCCCTCCTATCGGCTGTATGGTCGTTCAGACGAAGCCCCCCCGCCCCGCAGGGCCAGTCGGCCCTTGGGGGTTGATCAATCTAGAGCGGGGCGACTCTTTGGAGCACCGCTCCAGGAGTCGCTGGCTGGCGGGGAGACAGTGAGACAGGATAAGTGGCAGACAGACAGACAGTCGAGGAGAGGAAGAGGAGAGAAGAATGATGATCTCGATCATGACCTCGAAAGAAACAGATGAGAGAGAGAGGTAGCTGTGCGTGCGGCATTGGCACTAGTGGCGGTGTATGGACGGTAGAAGCGACGGACAGACGAAAGGAGGGGGAAAAGGAGAAGGAGAAGGGGACCATCCATGACCTCGAGGGGGGATCTAATGGAATGAGTGGGAAGTTATCCATACTGATCCCCACCTCCCACCTTTAGCTATGCAGGCAGCCCGCGGCTGCAACTGCAGGTGTAGCTTGAGGCTGGATGTAGGCTTGGTGTTGTCTTGTTGCTGCTTTTTGGTCGGAGCACGAGTGGGTTGTTAACAAAGCAGGCGGCAGAGCGTTTTGGGGGCAGGGTTGAAGAGAGAGAGAGAGAGAGAGAGAGCGCACCGCGCGCGGGATCCGTGACCGTTGAGGCTCCAGGCATCCCTGCTCAGTCTCGAAAAACACGTGAGTTAGGGAGGGTACGTCCGGCTTAGGTCTTGAACCCAAGCCGACTTCACTTGTCATGGAGCCTAGCCCGCAGGAGTTTGCCGGCTCCGAGGTGCTCCAAGACGTCGCGGAGTAGGCGGGCTTCGACGGTGACGACGGCGAGGCGAAGTTGCCGCGCGGCAGTTTGTTCGAATTGTTGGGCGTATGTGGGGATCACCTGGTCGTCCGCGTTGCTCGTATCTCCCAAGTCGTTTTTGACGATCTTGTGAAAGATAGGTGTGTCGGCAGTGCCGAGCAGAGTGCCTCTGCCAAGCCGGCAGTGCGGGCGGCTGCGATCGCCTTTGAGGCCGCCTAGCGGATCGCCGCGGGCGTGCAGCAGTTCCAGGCTGAGGCCTGGTCGCAGGCCGACGGCAACGTGAAGGCGCTCAATCGCGCCTGCGGCAACATAGCGGTGCTTCTTCCTACACTTGCGGTGCATGCCAAGAGCATCACGGAGGAACGGGAAGCCGGCTCGACGAAGGCAGTCTTCAAGGAGGTGATCAAGCCCCCGGTTGGAGGGCACGAAGTCCCTCTTGGACAGCGCCCGGGCCTTGGCGTGCACCGCGAACTGCAAGATCGTCTACAAGGTCAAGGCCCCGCTGCTGGAGGAGCTCACTCAGGAGCGGCTGGCTGCCTTGGATCATGTCTTGCGGAGCGGACGGGACCCCTATGCTGATTTCGCTGTGTGGGGGCCACAAGACAACCGTATCCTCAAGCAGGTGAAGCTCGTGGGGAAGACCTCGAACCCGGACGGCGCGTGGTCCATGGTTGAGCTGTTCGGCCCAGGGTCTTTTGACTCGTGGGACCGGTCGTGCGGCCCTCCCGGCTCGGGCCCCATTCAGTTCGGGGCGGTCGATTTCGGTAGTCTTCTGAATTGCCGCACTAACTTCCATCGTCGCTTCCAGCAGGGGTGCCTGGAGGTGTGTGTGTGTGGCATATCGCCTACAGGGCAGAATGCCGTTACCGCCTCGAGCTCATGGGGGGGCTCCACAGGCAGGTGATAGACGACTACGAAGAAGCCAGTCGGCGTGGCAAGGACCTCTCGTGCTACCCTGGTCGGCCTTCTTGGAATGTGGTTTGGGAGATGGCAGCTGGCGACGCGGAGTTCTGGAAGTGCGAGTTCGAAGACCCCGCGCTGCTGGTTCTGGCCAAGACGGCGCCCCTGGCCAGCATGCTGCGCAACTATGCCAGAGCAGCCGGGGGCCTTGGACAATTGTCGGCTGCCGTGCGCGGCCCTGCCCAGGAGCCGCCCAAGAAGCCGCGTGGCAACGCGCAGGGCCAACTGGTCCACTGGGTCCACAACGGTAAGTTTGTGGCCAATCGCAGCGACGTCAAACTTTGCCAGGCGTTCCAAACGGCCAGTGTGGGCAGACTCGCCAGGACAACATGTGTCCCAAGGCCGCGGGCGAGGTCTGCCAGTGCGAGCGTTGCTTGGGCGCCGGCCACGGGTCGGCTCGCCCTCAGCCGTGCGCCAAGACGCCACATATCCCCAAGTCGACCAAGGGAGGTTCGAATGGGGAGGGGTGGCACCCGCCGGTGAGCTGTCGGCGCCCCCGCGGCGCCGAGCCTGGCAGCGCCGCTCGGGCGCGGCCCCCAGGCAGCGACGAATGCATGTCTTGAATGCGCGATTCCATCGGGCGCGCTGTCTACGGCACTGGCCGCGGTTGATAACTCTGGACAAGCATCGTTGCTCAGCCGGGAGGCCATGGTCTCCATTGGGCCAGCGCCGGCGGATCCGTCGTTCGGCGGTAGCCGTTGGAAGCTCAGCCTTTTTGTCGTCTTCGGCGAACCCGAGGCGCGCTGGGGCCTTTCTGGCACTGCTTAGCACTTCTGCAAGCGCAGAATGTGGCGCGAGCTTGACGCCAGGACTGGCGCGCTCGACTTCCGCGGGTGCGCGCTGGCCCCCCCGTCTGCAACTTTCGTCGTTCGCGGCGACGACGGTCCTGCTGTCTGCGGCGAGGCGGCTCCGGATATCTACGGGTTCCGCCGTCTCCCCCCGCCAGCGGTGGCCGGGCGTGTCCGCGTCGAGACTGCACTTGCCCTCCGGCGCTGCCGTGGCGCGGGGGTTCTTGGAGTTAGGCCTGCTTGGGTGGGCGCTAGCCGGCGCCTGGGTTTCCGGTTGCCCATCTGTCCTCGAGCTCCCAGAGTGGCAGGCGATTGTGGACTCGCTGGGCGTCGTTGCCTCGCCCGGCGTCTGGCGCGCCGTCGGCGCCGTCGCAGAGCGCCCGGTCGACATCGCGCATTGGTGCGCTGATTTAACCGGCGCCCTGGAGGCAGCCGCTGGGCCAGCAGCTGCGCGCGCCTCCCTTGCGGGGCGGTTGCTGCGAGCCGCCGAGAGGAACGGGCTGTCGGCGCCGGAAACAGAGGCCGCGACGCCGCGATCTGATTCATTCTGCCACGAGTTGACTAGGCCAGCCAATGGCGACGCTGAAGGGGCAGATCTGTCCGATGCCCAGGTGTCCTTCGCGCTGCCTCTCCGCCATCGCGTGCCCGGCGCCAGAGCCGCCCCGTTGGCGCAGGAGGCCAAGTCGGTCGGCGGCATGCGCGGACCACTGCGCCCCCTGAGCAAAGCCCCGGGCCTTGAGAAGGCGTCGGCCGAAGTGCGGGCGTTCGCCGACGCGGGCACCTCGGTCCGCGACAAGTGGCGGGCTGCCCTCGCCGACGCGGGCTACGACGCCGCGCCCGCGGAGGCGTAGCTGGGCGTCCGCAGCCCCGCAGTCGCCGGGCTCCTGGGCGCGTCGTCGTGGAGCCCTGCCCAGACAGAAGCGTGCTCGAGCGATGTCCGCGCAGACGCGCGCAGGGCATGGGCAGCTCGAGCGGGCGATCCTGGCGCCGGGGTCGCGGACAGGTTTTCCACGAGGGCTCCGGCTGGCATCGCGAAGACGCCGCCAGAAGACGGCGTGCTCCTCCTCGCCTCCGACACCGCGCCGCCCTGTCCGATTTGTAGTCTGCAACTTGGCCTTCGATGCGCGTGCCTCGGACGGCGAGTCCGCGCCTCTGGGCGAGGAAGCCATTGAGTGAGAAGATCAAACCTTGCGCTTCGCGTGCGTGGCTGGCGTCGGCGGCGACTTTCAAGGAGTGCTGCGAGAGTCTCGGCGGCGCCCCGGTGCTGTCCAAGTTTGCCCCCCCGCCTGGGTGAAGGAGGGGGAAACTAAGAGGCGCTGTGCCATCGACCCGAGAGCTTCCAGCGTCACTGCCGCCGCGGCAAAGACTCACCGGGTGCCTCTGCCCGGCGCCGTGGGCGTTGTCCAGGACGCTCTGGAGCTGCTGTCCCGTCGCGAGAGGGACAACTTGTTCGGCGTCGAACGGCTCGTCGCTGGCTTCAACGACGTTTTCTGGAAAGTGCCAATCGCTGTCGAGGAGCGCCGTTTCTTCGTCGCCAAGGTCCGCGGCGTGTGCTACGGGTGCTGCCGGGCGGCGCAGGGGAGCCGAAATGGCCCCTATGCGTGGGCGTCGGTCGCTGCGTTGCTGACAAGGCTGCCGCGCGCCATGTTCGTGGATCCTTCTGCCCGGAAATCTTTCGGGAAACTCCCGTCCACGACCCCGGTCCTGACCGCGGCAGGATCTCCAGTGAGGCGTCGCTTGATGCTGTGCGCAACCGTGCTAGCTTGGTGGCTGCTGGGTTTCGGCGTTCATTTTAGGAAGGCGAGGATTGGCACGGCGATCGTTTGGATTGGCCTAAAGTCGCCTTTGGACCCGACCGGTGTCGCAGATGAGATTGCAAGCGGAAAGGTTGCTGACGTCATTGGCTCCCCCGAGGGTTTTCTTGCGTCCAATGTCGTATCGCTCAAGCACTTCCGTGAATTATTACGGGAGGCTGAAGCTGAGTGGTGGTTGCTTTGGTATGGAGGCCTCTCCTCCGTGACCTTTGGGGCGCAGTTCCCGTTGCCGGCGTCGATTCTTCATCGCGCGCGACTCCCGCTTGCGTGTGGACGCAGCAAGTGCGGGCGCAACTCGAGTGGATCCTCCTGTTCCTCCGGCGAGGGGATCCATTGTTCGCCGTTTTTTGGTTGATTTTTGCGCGCGCCGCGGGCCAGCCGCGCGCGTGGGGTTCGACGCTTCTCCGTGGGGCCGGGTGGGTGGCCCATGTCGCCTATTTCACTGCCCCCGTCTCCGGGGAAAATGTTAGGCTGCTGGGCATCGTGGTCAGCTCCGCCGAGTCGCAGCAGATTTTGGAAGGCCTGGCAATTATTGCAGGCGTGCGTGTTTGGAACCAGCACTGGTGTCAACTGCGTTCCATCTTCGCTGTCGAATGCTTTCACCATGCTGTCGAAACTGCAGGCGCCGATCCCGGCATTGAATCATCTCGCCAAAGAGCCTGCGTTCGATCTTGGGGTCGCTGCTTTCCTCCCCGAGGAGACTTCGCACGTTCCGGTGGTCGCCAATGCGTTGGCCGACAGGCTACGCAGGAGGTGTAAACCAGGATCCTCGTGGCGCGTGCCGCCTTGCGTCGGCGGCCTGGTGGTAACGCCATTGCCAGTCGTTGCAAAACCGTGGTGCCGCAACCCGGCCAGGCAGTAACAGCTGACTTGTTTGCTGCTTGCAATCGGTGACACTTGTGACCAAGTTACTTTCAAGGCCAGCAGCGACCGCTTAGGTCGCCACAGTGCTGTGCGACCGTACCGTCGCATCGGAGGCGCATCGACATTTAATCATTTAAGTTGTTTTTTTCGCTGACGGCGACTGCGTAGTCCGCCACGGCGCTCCTGAAAGCAAATGCTACACCAACCAGTTGAGAATAATGGATTGCAGATCTTGTCTCTCGTCGTGCTTTTCTCTCTCTCTCTCTCTCTTTGGTGCCCTCCTTCCCTCCCCATCCTTTGACCACCATGGTCGCTTTGCCATGCTGGGGACGTGGGGACTTGGGGGTGAGGTGCGTCAGTGTGCTCTGCAGATACCGCGGTCCTGCGTGACATCCGCCCTCCTCTGGCATGCGCCATGTTCTTCTGGTCATGCGGGCTGCGGGGTTGACACTTCGTGTTCTAATGTCATATGCCTGAAGCGATCCAAACGGGCTGCTGTCGCTGTTTCCGCTGGGCGAGCGGGGATAGGGAGACCTTTGTGCAGGTGCCGCGGTCCTCCATTCCCCCCCCGTCTTCTGCGTATGAATTGTGCTGCTGTCGCGGTTTCCGCCAGGCATGCGGGGATAGGGGGACGTATGTTGCAAGTGCCGCGGTTCTGCGTCTCCTCCCCCCTCCTCTTGCATTTTCTCGTCATTGCTCCGGGCCCTTTGTAGGTATAATGCGGTCCTGCATCTCATCCGCCATTTCGGTGGCAGGCACTGCGGTCCTGCGACTTTCGATCGCGTTCTGGTCTACGCTGCGCATACCTGACATGCCCGAGGCCATCGGCTAGCATGCCGCGCGGCCGCCCCCTGGTCCGGGCTGGCACTCCAGCGCTGTGTTCACGACGAGAGGTGGACCATTGAGTCTCGGCCCTGGAGGCTGCTGGCTGGGGATCCACTCCGGTGCCGCTACATGCGCGCTGCACTTGAGCATCGGCATCGACAGGCAGCCCTGCCGCCGTGGCCCCTTCGCCGCGGCGGCCGTCGGGAGGTGACCTCCAGCTGCAGCAGTGCCGGCAGCGGTGGCCTCTCTGTGGTCCTCGAGCTGCGCGCGCCCCGTGGATGTAGCTGTTGCAGGCCTAGAGGTTGACACCAACACCAATATCGGCGGTGTGCCTCCACCGAGGGAAGAAGATCCCGATCTCGGTGATGGTGGTAATATTCTGGCTTCCAAGGAGACGCATCGAAATCGAGGATCATCTTCCCCCTGGAGGCCCCCCCCTGTGTTGGTGTTGGTGCTCACTTCCAGGCCTCCAAAGCTGTCGCTCGCGGCTGCAAGCGAGGTTCCGTGGCTCTTACCTTTGCGGCAGCCGCAGGGCCAGCATCTCGCCAAAGAGAGCTCTCCGAGCTCGAAGCTGACGAATTCGCAATGGCCTCGATTGCTCCACGAGTGTCACTGTGGCGCATGTGGGTGCGCCTTTACGAGTTTTGGTTTGAATCGGAGGCACTTGCTGCTGAAGGCATGTGCGTCCCAGTTCTCCCGCTGAGCCCTGTAAAGATTTCGGCTGTTATGTCTTTGCTGAAGCAGGTTAGGTACCGGTCTGCCGCGAATTGCGCGAGCAGGGCGAAGGGCGAACACATCGTGTCTGGTTTTCCCTGGAGCGACTTGCTCGACAGATCTAAAAGGCGCGCCGCTGCGTCCGCAACCCAGGGCATGGGCCCTGGTAGGCAAAGTGCGGCCCTCGATCTCACGAAAGTGGCGAGCTTGAAGCTCTCAGCCTTGGAGCCGCTGGCCACTGGTGGGCCCGTGAAGTCGCATGCCATGATCGTCGCAGGATCCTTCTTCCTGACCGGGGAGATCGAGGCAGGAGGAGGACGGATATTGAGAAGGAGGCGAAGGAAGAGGAAGGATCTGACGAGGCAGCGGCGCGGGTGGGGGAGGATGGAGGAGGAGCTGGAGGAGGAGCTGGTGGAGGGAGGGGAAGAAGGACGCAGTAGGGGAGGAGAAGGACGGGACGCATTGATGCTGCCATCATAATAGAGCACCACGCCAATGGGGCAAATCAGAGGGAGGGAATGTGGGAGGGAGGTCGGGGCGAGATGATGATGAGGATGATGGTGATGACGGTGGAGCTTAAACTGATGCATTTGCTGGTGATGGTGATGGTGACCGTGATGGTGGTCATCATGATGCTGACGATGACGATGGTGATGATGATGCGGATGATGACGATGATGATTCTGATGACGGTGATGGTGATGGTTGCGTAGATGGTGGTGGTAAGGATGATGAGGAGGAGCAGGAAGAGGAGGTAGGAGGCGGGAGGGGATCTGCAGAGAAGGAATGCAGATGATCAGGATGAGGATCAAGAGCATGATGGTGAGGAGCGGCAGGAGGATGATGACTCGGGAAGCGGCAGGGGCTACGGAGGATGGGGAGTCGCCTGAGGCCGTCACCGAGATGCACCTGAAGGTCGTGCGGGGCACCCTCCCCCCCTCCCCCTCTGCTGCTGATCCTCCTCCTTTTCGTCCTTCTGCTCTCTCCTCTTCCTCCCCATCGTCTTCTGTTTCCTTCTCATCCTCCCCCTCCTGTCTCCTCGCCGTCGCCGCCGCCGTCGTCGTCGTTATCGTCCTCCTCCTCATCCTCCCCCTCTTCCCCGTCGTCGTCACCGTTGTCGTCGTTGTCCTCTTCCTTCCTACTCTCCTCTTCTTCCTCTTCTCCCTTGCCCCTCCTTTCGCCTTCTTCTCCTTCTCCTATCCTTATGTTCCCCCTCTTCCTCTTCCCCCCCGTCCTCCTCCTCCACCTTCTTCATCTTCTTTTTCTCCTCCTCCTCGTCCTCCTCCTCCCCCTCCTCCTCCTCCTCCCCCTCCTTCTCCTCCTCCCCCTCCTCCTCCTCCTCCTCCTCCTCCTCCTCCTCCTGCTCCTCTTTTCCCCTTCAAGCCGTTCAAGCGCAGCCACACCTCCCGCAGGCGATGCTGGAGAGAGCGAGAGGGCTATATATATGTATGTATGCACACATGTGTACATGTATACAAACAGATACATGCACACGTACACATGCATTTAGCGGAAATCCAGCGAGGCCAATAATGGCCGAGGGAGAAGATCGGGGTAACGCCCTGAAGGAAAATTGTCAATCCTGCAGGGTCGGTAAGCAGCAGCAGCAGCAGCAGCACATTGTTGAACGGCGCTGCAGCCTCCCATGAGCACGGCCCCACCCGGAGTAGCAGCCAGACAAGCAGGTTTTGCACCCTCATGCCTTGCTGGACTCCAGGCGCGCTTCGGCACTGCCACAGCCGCCGCCGCTCTCTCGTCAGGGCCGCCGACCCGGGTGACGGCGACAGCGATTGTGGCAGTGGCCGATGCGACCCAGAGCTAAGCCGAAGCGAAACTTGCCCGTGGCGGGTGTGCAATGCCAGGGGAGCCCGACAGCGCCGATGATAGACGGACGGTCAAATATTGCGCGGAACACCAGCGAGTCCAACGATGGCCGAGGGAGAGAATCGGGGCGACCCCCTAAACGGAAAGAGCCCACCCTGCAGGGTCGGTCAACACCACGTCATTGAACAGCGCTGCAGCCTCCCCTGAGCTCAGCCCCTCCCCACAGTAGCAGCCAGACAAGTCGGGTTTACACCCTCATGCCTTGCTGGACTCCGGGCGCGTTTCGGCACTGCCACAGCCGTCGCCGTTCTCTCGTCAGGGCCACCGACCTGGGTGACGGCGACAGCGACAGTGGCGGTGGTCGACGCGACCCAGAGCTAAGCCGAATCGAAACTTGCCATACACACATTCATGCATGCATGCATTCACTCATTCATTCACCTATACATACATACGTACATCCATGCATACATACATACATTTACCTATATACCTACATACATACATACATGCATACATACAGACATACATACATACATATATACATATAAATATATATATACATGCGCATGCATACATCCATCCATGCATACATCCGTACATGTATACACATGCATACACCCATGCAAGCAAGCATACAAACATACACATGCACATACATACATGCATCCATCAATCCATCCATACATACATACATGCAGGTATACATACATACATACATACAGGCAGACATACATACAGACAGACAGACATACATACATACAGACATACATACATACAAACATACACGCATACATACATACATACATACATACATACATACATACAAACAAACAAACATACATACGTACGTACGTACGTACGTACGTACGTACGTACATACATACATACATACAAACAAACAAGCACACATACATATATACATACATACACACATACATTCAAGCATACATACGAAAGTAATACACACATAAAGGTGTATGCATGTATGCATATGTACACATATATATATACACAGAGAGAGGATGCAAACAACACGCAATGGGCCTCAACACTCCCCCACGGGACACCAGGACCTCGCACGCGACCGCGCTGAAGCGGGCCGAAAAAGACGAACTCCGCGGGCGCCCACGAGCATCGTGAGCGAACGGCGCAGTTCTTGCATTTCTGTGGTGCGGGTCGCGGAGGCCCAGTTGCCTGTCCAGCGCACGTGAAAGAGGCGAGCACAGCGCATAAAGCACTCCAGAGGACATGTTCTGATGGGGCTGCGGCCTCGCGCTCTGCGGAAATCTGCCACGGCTGCAACGCAGGCGCGCCTTGGCTAAGGGTGCGAAGTTCATGTGGGCGACGGAGCAGAACTGGGTCGTTTTCGCCGACATTCCCGCGCGGGCTGTCCGCGGAAGGTGGCGCGTCAGCGCCCTCATCTCCAATGCAGTGAGCCGCGCCGCCCGCGTAAACCGCGGCGCATGGTCGCCATGCCATCTCGCGTGAGACCCGCTCCACCCTGTCGCTCCCATGAGGGAGATTTCTGATGCGCGCCCAGCGCAGCAGTGGCACAGAGGCCAAAGACGAGCGCGTAATGAGCAAGGGCCCGCGCCGCCGCCGTGCCCGCCCCCCACAGCGTGCCGGACCCGGAAGTCGGCCGCGGCGGGGAAGAGTCGGGGCCGAGCGTGGGACGCCCCGCTGCTGCCGCTGCGGACGACGCGCGGTCGGCAGCTTTTGGGCAGCGTGTCGTTCCGCCGGCTCTGGCTCACCGCGCTTCGGCGTGACGTGCTATCCAGTTCGCGGTCTCAAAGCGTCCACGTCCGGAGCCTTCCCCAGCCTCCCGCCCCGCGGGGCGGAGCCATCCGCTTGCAATGCAGAGCGTGTCGCCGTGGCCGCCGTGGCCACACGCTTGGGCAGCAGTTCCTGACCGTACACCTCCAGGATGCAGGTAGCAGAGGCCCATGACAAGCGATGGCTACAACAGATCCAAACCCAGGACCGTGAAGCCCCCTCTTTTCGTTCTCCTCCTTCTCCTCCTCCTCCTCCTCCTCCTCCTCCTCCTCCTCCCTCTTCCTTCTCCGCAGTTGCACAATATGAGTACTACTCTCCTCTCCCCCCTGACTCGGTGCGGAAGATTCTCAGCCCTCTCTGCGTGCTGTTTTATTTTGCGCTGGATTCCAACAGTTGTTTCTCTTATAGTGTTGTGCAATCCGATTGTTTTCGCATGTTAAAAATCGTGTTCCCGCTGAAGCGTTGGCCTGATTTTCGGATCGGCGCTTTGCTCTCGTCGTTCAGAATGGCGCTCTCGTGCCAGCGCGGGCCACTTGATTGAATCTGAGTCTTTCTTCATCGTTGTCGCCCCCCTCATGTCCCCTCCTCCGCCTTCCCCTGGTCTTCCTGTTCCTCCCGCTCATTCCACTCCAGTTTCTGCTGCTGCGGTTCGTCCTCCTCCTTTGCCTCCTGCTCGTCCTCCTGCTCACCCACCACCTCCTCCTCCTGTGCACGCAGCTCCCCTCTCCCCGATTACGTATAGCACGATGTGGTCTCTCTGTTGGAGTTGTAGGTCGGCTACGACACGCGTCCGCGGATGCAGAACAAGTCAGGGCAGTGGGCAGGGATGGGAGGGAAGGATAGGATGTCGGATATGGCGCGAGCGCACCCAGCTTGCCATCTCCCTCCTCTCCCTGCCCCCCCTCCTGCTGATGCCCCCTCTCCATCCCCATCCGGCCCAGAGGTCGTCAAGGGCAAGCCCCTGTACGTGGGGCTGGCCGAGAAGCGCGAGGCTCGCCAGGAGCGCCTGCGCCAGCGCTACTCCCCAGGCGGTGGCGGAGACAAGGCCGGGCCAAGAACTCTCGATGTGGTTGAGGCGAACCTCCCGACCCCACACCAGGCCTTCCGCCTCGTCCTCCTACCCCTCGTCCTCCTCCTCCTCCTGCTCCTCCTCCGTCTTCCCCTCCCCCTCCCTCCTCCTCCTCCTCCTTTTCCATCTCCCTCCTCCTCCTCCTTCTCTTCCCTACAGCCCCTAAGAACCTCAAGGACCTCCCTCCCCAGAGAAAAGACAGCGAGAGAGAGAGAGAGAGAGAGAAAAGGAGCCCTCCAGAACCCCATGAACTCTTCTGAATCTCCTCAAGCTCCTCCTTAACCCTCCCTCCTTCCTCCTCCTCCTCCTCCTCCTCCATCTCCTCCTCCTCCATCTCCTCCTCCTCCTTCTCCTTCTCCTCCTCCTCCTCCTCCTCCCCCTCCTCCCCTCTCCCCCCTCCTCCTCCTCCCCTCCTCCTCCTCCTCCTCCTCCTCCTTCGTCGTCCCCTCCTCCTCCTACTCCTCCTCCTCCTCCTCCTCCTCCTCCTCCTCCTCCTCCTCTTCCCTCCTGCACCTCCTCTTCCCTCCTGCACCTCCTGTCTTCCTCTCCGTGGCCACTCTGGGCCCGCGCGGCCTCGGCGCTGCCGCCGCGGCCGAGCGGGGCCCGGACTGCTCCCGCGGCCGGGTGCCGTACCTGCGCGGCCCCGCCCTCGGCCGACGGCCGCTGCGCGGACGGCCTGGAAGTCTCGTGGCGCCCAAACCGCAGAGCGGCCCCCCAAAGGGTCGCCTCCCAAAGGGTCGCCTCCCAAAGGCTCGCCTCGCAAAGGGTCGCCTCCCAAAGGGTCAGGGGTCTTTTTGTGCCTCATCGCCCTGGGGGGGCCTGCGGGTGCACCCGAGGATGCCGACGTTGCGGTGGGGCTTCCGTGCAGTCTCCCCCCTGGGGGGGGGTCTGCGGGTGTGGTCCCGGGCGGCACGCCGGCGGAAGCAGGCCGACGTGGGGCACGACTCCCGCGGACGCGTCTCCAGGCGGCTCGGGCGGCCCCGAGAAGACCAGGAGTCCTCATGGCTCCAGCATGGCAGCGCGGATCTCGTTCGGAAAACAATGGGATGGGCCCGGATTGTCCCGGAGAATTTCGTTCCTGATTTCGAGGTGATCTTCGTGCGTCTTTTGTTGTTGTTTGTTTTTTGTTTTTGTTGGTTTTTTCCCCAGGAATGAAGACTACAAACATTCCACGTGAGATTCACTTCGTTTATCGCTCATTGGCAAATCCACGCAAAAATCCGCTGCAGCACGTCTGCAAGGTCGGTGCAATGAGAAGTCCCGGCCGAACCGCCAAATCCTTGCTCGAGAGCCTTGCGACGGTGGTCCATGCAATCGGGGGCGGCCAAGAGGGGGGTGATGGCTAAGTAGTGGTATTTGTACCTTTTAGTCTCCCCAATTCCTGGCGTTTCTTCTCATTTCAATGCGTCCCTGGCCCGCCACCTGGGCCGCACACGTGCCGCCAGCCATGATTTGCACCCCGCCCTCTTGGACGCCCCCCCCCCCCCTTGGACGCCCCCGATGCAAACAGGGGATCGGCCAGAACGCCAAATCCTGCAGGATCCTGCAAAGCTAGGGCTGCCTTGACCCGGGTCAGCGCGCAGGATCTTGCTGGATCTTGCAGGCTCTTGCAGGACCCTGCAGAACCCGACTGTTCCGGGCTTGCGTTGACCCTGCTCAGTAGATTGCCGGTTTTCTCCCTCGACGAGTGCATGGGGGTTGGAGCCGGCTGTGGGTCTGAGGTGGCCCAGCACTGGTTCCCGAGCAGGAAAGGGGGCAGGTTCGAGGTGTTGTGTTCGAGAAGGTTTTTTTTTTTTTTTTTTTTTTTTTTTTTTTTTGTTTTTTGTTTTTTTTTTTTTTTTTTTTTGTTGTTTTTTTGTCTTTTTCGGCCTCTCGGGGTCGTTTTCGGGCCACGGGACTGTCGAACATGGATCTGGGGTGAAAAATTGCGCCCCGGCAGGGGTCCAGGGACCGATCGTGACCGGATTTGGCGTCATTCCCCGGTTTGTCTTAGGTCGGGCATGTCCTTGTACAGGAGGAATGTTCAAAAATAGTTTGAACATAGTCTGGGGACGATTCTCCGACTGTTTGTGACCATTTTGTGAATTTGTTTTTGGTTATTTTCCATTTTTCGTCCAAAAACCCCCTTTAGGAGGACACGCCCGACCTATCGTTTGACCGATTTCGAGGAGCCCCATCCAGTTCGGACCTCCCGCCGCCTTCAACGTGGGGGATTCTTTGCTGATGCGCGGCCTTCGCGTGGTGTAAGATCCCAAATGTGCACCAAAAAACAGGCTCGCAACAGTCCCCGCCGAGCTCGCACAAGTCACTGCCCGACACTTCGGTATATACATCGTTCGCAGCGAACATCAGGCCCTCGCGTGGCGTAAGGTTTTCGATCGCGGCGTCTGGCTGTTCTGCAGGGATCTAGGCCTCCAAGATGGGGTCCGCGTGGATGGGGTCGGGGGATCGCGCCGCATCGCCGATGCATCGGCGAAGCGGCTCGATGCGGAGCCCGATTTTCGCCGACGTCGCCCTGTGCATCGCCGATGCACAGGGCGACGCATCGGCGATGCGGCGCGATCTACTCGGACCCCATTTGGGAGGCCTCCAAGGGACGCGCTCTCTGCCGGCCGTAAGGCCAGTGGCCGCGGCCGTCCGAAGCCGCGTCCTGGCCGGCCAGCGCGCCCCAGGGCGCGGGCGCGCCCGGCCGCCAGGGCCGCCAGGCCTTCCGCCGCGCCGTCCTCGCCGCGGTGCCCCCCTATGGGCGGTGGCAGGCCGCCCGCGGAAGGGTCGCAGGCCCCCCGCCCTGCCTCCGCGCCCCGCAGCTGCGGGCGGAGCCGCGCCCCCTGCGTGCGGGGCGGCGCTGCCGCTCCCGGGACGAGCGGCCGCTGCACCGTCGGCGCGCCCGGCCTGCGGCACCTCCTCGGCCTGCGGCGAGCCGCTCTCGTGACGAGCCGCCACCGCCTCGCGAAGGCCACGGGTCCGGAGACTGTTTTTTCAAGGGCCCAGAGGTAGCCCCCTGCGGGCCATCGGCGGGCGCAGCGCGGCGACGCTGCGCGCAGCGCGGTCGGCGGGCCAGCGCCGTCGGCGGGCGCAGCGCCAGCGCCGGCCGCGGCCGGGGTGCTACGTGGCGCGGAGGGCCAGCGGTGGCCCTCCGCAACGACTGCGCGGCGCGCGCCAGGCAGCGGGCGCGCCGCGTTTCGCCCGCCGCGCAACGCTCGGCCCGCCCGCGCTCCCCCCCCCCCCCAGATCCTGACCCTATCGGTGGCGCAGGTCCGACGAGGGTGCGCAGCTCTGGTGCACGCGGGCATACGTGGGGCTGCCCAAAGCGAAAAGGTTAGCTTATCGGCTGGCACCTCCCCCCCCGCCCCCCACCGGATAATTTGGTTTGTCGCCGAGCACTGAAAATTGATATCCTGCGCCCTGTGCCCCACGACTGCGCCCGGCAGCGGCACCTTGTCGGCCTGCGGACAGAGCCGTGCCTGGGCCGTCCTGACCTCTCAATGGTGGCTGCTCCCGGCCGTGCGAGCTCTCTCGAGGGGATAGGGCAGGTCCGCGGGTCGGTGACGGCGGGTGAGGACGTTTTGTGCCAGGAAACGCGAACATGAATCAAGGCGTGTGGATTCGCGGCGGGTCCCGTTTCCATATCAAATCGGTACGGGATCCGTAGATCTGGCGCCCATACGCCAGATCCACAGACCACTAATCATTTGTATTAGCGTGCGCTCGCTTTCGCGCCACTCGAGCACCCTGCGTGTCTGGCAAACGTGCGGTTGTTTTTTCTGGTAGTGATTGTGGGGCAACGGCAGCAATGGGCCTACAGCATGCGATGCAGGAGTGGTGTTCCCTTCCCGCTTCCGAGCAGGGGCTGGAGAGATGAGGAGGGGCATTCTTCCATGCCGCTGGGGCCCGCCTCATGCCACTCCAGCCAGAGGGAACAGCACGGTACGCAGGCACGGTGCCCTCCAAGGCCTCCCACAGGGTGCACCAGAGAGCTGGTCATAGTTACCACGCTGGTTAGCAGCAATGTCCAGCAATGCCCCTCCTTCTCCTCCTCCTCCTCCTCCTCCTCTTCCTTCTCCTCCTCCTCCTCCTCCTGCTCCTCCTCCTCTTCCTTCTCCTGCTCCTCACCCCAAGTGCCCCTCCCCCGTGCCCCCAAGTTCCCCCCTCCTCGTGAGAGCGGGAGATGGTGGGATGGGAGGAGTCGGCAGGATCATCTCACCGCATACAGTCAACCCGCACAGTAAGGATGGGCAACCTTCCCAATTGTACCCTTGCATCCTTGCCTCCTCGGTCCGTCATTCGCCACTTTCGTTGGCCGCGCCCCGCTCGAAAAGCTTCGAAATGGACGTCCAAGGCCCATGCATCCTTATCGCGCATCCTGAAGATACGGGCCGACTGTAGGTTTCTTGGCCCCGACGAGGGCGGCGGCAAGGGCTTCGGTGGCAAGGGCGGCCCAGGCGGCTCTGGGCGACCCGAAACGCGCAGCCACCTGTGGGGCTCTCGCAGGTCCGCAGCGAGGGGCCTGGCTCTGGGCCCGCCCTCCGAACGGGGAGGAAGGAAGGAATGACGAGGACGAGGGGATGGCGGGAAGAGGGGCAAGGCGAGGGGGGGAGGAAGGGAGGAAGGGAGGGAGGAGAAGGACGACGAGGAGGGCTGGGTGAGGAGACGCCGAAGGAGGAAGGGGAGGAGGGGGAGAATGAGGAGAGCGAAGGGAACTAGACGGAGTGGGCGGTAGGAGATAGAAGCTAGAGGGTAGAAGGTAGGAGGTAGAAGGTAAGAGGTAACATGTAGGAGGTGGGAGGTACGAGGTCGGAGGTAGGAGGTAGAACGTAGGAGGTATGATGACGACGATGACGATGACGATGACGATGACGATGACGATGACGATGACGATGACGATGACGATGACGATTGATGATGATGTTTATGATGATGCTGCTGATGATGGTGAAGACGATGATGATGATGCTGCTGATGACGATGCTGATACTGATGATGCTGATGCTGATGCTGCTGCTGATGCTGATTCTGATTATGATGCTGCTGCTGATGATGATGCGTCTGATGATGATGAAGCTGATGATGATGATGATGCTGCTGCTGATGATGATAATGATGATGGTGGTGGTGGTGATACTGATGATGCTGCTGATGATGTTGATGATGACGCTGCTGCTGCGGCTGCTGCTGCTGATGATGATGATGATGATGACGATGATGATGATGACGATGATGATGATGATGACGATGCTGATGACGACGATGATGATGACGATGACGATGGCGATGACGAGGACGAGGAGGAGGAGGAGGAGGAGGAGGATGAGGATGATGATGATGATGATGATGATGATGATGATGATGATGATGATGATGATGATGATGATGATGATGAGGAGGAGGAGGAGGAGGAGGAGGAGGAGGAGGAGGAGGAGGAGGAGAGAAAGGAGGAGGAGGAGGAGGTGGAGACGAAAGCGAGGAGCAGGGGGAGCAGCTTACATCAGAAGGGAGGCGGTTCGATGGGGCTGGGATAGGAGGGGAGGGGTAAAGGGAGGGGGAGGGGAGAGGGCTGGAAGGGGAAAGGGGTGGAGAGGGGGGTTCGTGAGGAGGGGATGGGGGAGGGGAGGGGCCAGCGGGTTGGGGTTAGGGATGGGGCTGGGGGGTTGGGGTTAGGGCCGGGGGGGGGGGCGACGAGGGGTCCCTCCCCCCCTCCTCCCTCCTTTTCCTCCTTTTCGTCGTCGTCGTCCTCCTCCTCCTCCTCCTCCTCCTCCTCCTCGTCCTCTCAGTGGGGGTGCAGGGGGTAGGGGGGAAGGGGCGATGCGAGCGGCGGTGTCGGGGGACGATGCAACGTCGAGGAGCCCTGGCTGCCCAGGCGGCATGCCGGGCGGCATGCAGGGCGGCATGCCGGGCGGCATGCAGGGTGGCATGGGCATGATGGGGAAGGCACGGCCCTCCTCTCGGGGAAACGTAAGACTCGAGTGCGCCAGAACTCGGGTTCGCCTTCGCTTTTTGGCGAGCCCGCCATGGGTTTCGGGTCCAGTTTTCGTGGCGTGTTTGCAGCGAGAGCTCGCGTCAAATTTCAGATTGGGTCAAGTTATTTTCATGATGGCCCCGTCAGGCCAACCCGAGTCCCCCGTACCCAAGTCTTACGTCTCCCCGAACCTCCTGCTCCTTCTACTTGGGGGGTTCAAGAAAGGGCCTCGCCTTCGAGGATCGAAAGAGTCGATATCTCTTCCTCGGCGGGAGGCTGGCGGAAGCTCGGCGGAAGTGAACATCGGCCTCCCAAGAGATGGCAAGATTTTGGTTGTCTCACGTTTGTTTGAGCCCGCCACTTATTTTTAGTGTGCGTGTAATGGTGTGTGTGTGTGACTTTTCTGGGTGCCCGCGAAAACTCTTGGCACATCCAGGGACAAAAGGGGGTCAGCCAGCGCGCTGGATCTTGCAGGTTCCTGCAGAGCCAAGAGTGCATTCACCCGGGTTAGCGCACAGGATCTTGCAGGATTCTGCAGGATTTTGCAGGATCCTGCAAAGCCCGACTGATTCAGGTTTGGCTTGACCAGGGCCAGTAGATCCCCGACCAGAGGCCTCCTGCTCCTTGTCCCCTTCTGGGCCATCGGGTGGGGTGGGGGGCCTTCGTCGCCTGGTCATGATGGAAGGCGCGGCCCTCCTCTGGCTCCTTCCAGCTTCTTGTGTATGTCTTCTGGAATGTATGGCCCTCTTTCGGTGCCGCCAGAGACCTCCACGGACCTCCAGGGACCTCCTTTCCGGGGACCTCAAGAGACGTTCTCCTCTGCCTCCCCTTCTAAGCCCTCGCGGAGGGGCGGGGGAGTATGGCCCTCGTCGCCATGGCTGGACGCGCATCGGAATCTTGGTCAGGGTGCTTTCCGGAAGAGGTCAGGGGGGACGATTTTGAGGGGGGAGGCATGATTCTCCTTCTCCTCCTCCTCCTCCTCGGCCTCCTGCCAGGGCGGCCCGCAGATGGGCATGATGAACCCAATGGGCATGATGGGGATGATGCCGCAGCAGGCGCAGGCCATGATGATGGCGCAGAAGGCCAGGGGAGGGGCAGAGCGACCAGAGCGTCGCACGGGCACAAGTACGAGTGCGCCCTCGCCCGACCGGATGAGGAGGAGGAGGAGGAGGATGAGGAGGAGGAGGAGGAGGAGGAGGAGGAGGAGGAGGAGGAGGAGGATGGAGGAGGATGGAGGAGGATGGAGGAGGATGGTGGAGGAGGGGGAGCGGGAGGAGGGAGGAGGAGCAATAGGCGGATGAGGAGGAGGAAGAGGAGGAGGAGGAGGAGGAGGAGGAGGAGGACCAAGGTAAACCCAAGACGCATCAACGATGTTGGACTGAACCCTCCCCCCAAGTTCCCTCTTCAGAGGCCCCCGCAGAGGTTCACTTCCACGGAAGGAATGGCCCCGTTGGGAGACAACCGCTTGAAGATCCTGAAGCGTGCCGAACAGTATTCTCGGGACTTTAACGCCACGCATAAACCTGACTGTTGCGTCTCGATGATCCTGAACCGTGCCAGAGCTTCAGTCCTGGGGCTCCCGCACCGCGAATCAGCGTAACCGTTGCGCCTTGGCAAGTTTGAATCGCTCCCAGACACCGTCTCTGGTACGTTAACCATGGGACTCCGTGAAACCATTCACGTGCGCGGTCTTTAGGCGAGAGCCACGTTTTGAAAAAAAGAACCGTCCCCAATCAGTGAAACTCTTACAAACTGTCAAGACGACTATACGCGGCGCTGAGGCGAGAGCCACATTTTGAAAACCACCCGCCCGCAATCCGTGCATACCTTGCAAATTTTTAAGACGAATGTTCGCGGCGCTGAGGCGAGAGCCACATTTTGAAAACCACCCGCCCTCAATCCATGAAATTATGGATGTGCGCGGCGCTAATGCGCGAGCACATTGTGAAGACCACCCGCCCTCCATCTGGCAAGCTGTTGTCATTCTTTAAGCTTCAGTGTCATAGATGGTAAGGAAGTCTGAGGCGAAACGCCCGGCCCGCCCTTTCGATCGGCCTCGGGGTGGGACAGGGAGGAGTTGTTTATAAGGAAAAGGAATGGAGGAGGAGCAGGAGGAGGAGGAGGAGGAGGGGAAGGAGGAGGAGGAGGAGGACCAGAGGAGGAGGAGGAGGAGGATGAGGAGGATGAAGAGGAGAGGGAGGAGGAGGAGGGGGAGGAGGTGGAGGAGGAGGAGAAGGAGGGGACTGTCGCCGTCGTCGGATGTCCACGGAGGTCGCCAGAGGCTCGTGGAGGTCCCCGGAGTCCCGAAAGTTCAAAACATGTGCACAATTTTGTTGTCTTCGGCCCCGCGAAGGGCGGCATGATGGGCGGCATGGGCGTTCGCCCTGGGATGCCTGGCGGCCAGCCCATGATGGGGCAGCAGATGACGGGCGCTCAGACGTCCCAGTTGGCGGGATGAAGGTCGACGATGGATGATTATACACATCGTCGCTGGATTGGGGGACAAGAGGGTATGGAGATGGTCCTTCGCTGAGCGTAGATCGATTGGAAGAGTACCCAAAGGTGTTGTTTATAGTTTCCCCTCGCCTATAACGGGGAACGTTGATCTCACTCCTCTTTTTTCTCCTGCTCCTCATCCTCACACTCCTCAAAGACTCCGCCTCTCCTCCCCCCCTCCGCTCTTCCTTATCGTGCTCCTCTTCCTCTTCCTCCCCCTGCTCCTCTTCTTCCTTTTTCCCTCGAGCGGGGTGGTCCTCCCTCTACCCCCTCCTCCTACTCCTCCTCAGGAGCCCCGCTTACCAGAGCCCTTGAGAAGGCATCCTCGAAGACTTTTCGAGAACCTAGAGATCTAGAATCGGTGATCGAGGATGGAGGATTTAGGTGCTTGGTCGTTGACGGCCCTTTTTGGGCCTCCAGGGGCCTCCGAGGAGGGCAATAAGGAGTTGAAGGAGGTGGAGAGAGGTGGAGGGAGGAGGGGGAGGCGGATGATGGTGATGATGATGCTGATGATGCTGCTGATGATGATTATGCTGATGATACTGATACTGATGCTGATGATGATGCTGCTGGCGATGATGGTGCTGATGATGATGCTGTTGATGATGATGATGCTGATCATGATGATGCTGATGTTGAGGCTGTTGATGACGATAATACTGCTGCTGCTGCTGTTGATGCTGCTGATGCTGCTTATGATGATGATGATGATGATGATGATGATGATGATGATGATGATCATGATGCTGATGATGCTGCTGCTGATGATGCTGATGATGATGATGATGGTGATATTGATGATGTTGATGATGATGCTGATGATCATGATGATGCTGCTGCTGCTGATGAGTGTGAGGCTGCTGCTGATGTGGATGATGCTGATGCTGCTGATGATGATGATGCTGATGCTGATGCTGCTGATGCTGATGCTGATTCTGATGCTGCTGATGATTATGGTGATGATGCTGCTGCTGTTGATGATGCTGATGATGATTATGCTGCTAATGATGCTGCTGCTGCTGATGATGATGATGATGATGATGAGGATGACGCTGATGATGATGATGGTGATGATGATGATGATGACGATGATGATGATGATGATGATGATGATGATGATGATGATGATGATGATGATGATGGTGATGATGATGATGATGATGATGACGATGATGATGATGCTGCTGCTGCTGCTGCTGATGATGATGATGATGATGATGATGATGATGATGATGATGATGATGATGATGATGATGATGATGATGATGATGATGATGATGATGATGATGATGATGATGATGATGATGATGATGATGATGATGATGATGATTGATGATGATGATGATGATGATGGAGGAGGAGGAGGAGGAGGAGGAGGAGGAGGAGGAGGAGGAGGAGGAGGAGGAGGATGAGGAGGGAGGAGGAGAAAGAGGAGGAGGAGGAGGAGGATGAGGAGGAGGAGGAGGAGGAGGGAGGAGAAGGAGGAGGAGGAGAAAGAGGAGGAGGGGGAGGAGGATGCGGGAGAAAGAGGAGGAGGACGAGGAGGGGAGGAGGAGGATGAGGAGAGGAGGAGGAGCAGCAGGAGGAGGAGGTGGAGGAGCAGGAGCAGGAGGAGGAGGAGGAGGAGGAGGAGGAGGAGGAGGAGGAGGAGGAGGAGTTGGATGAGGAGGAGGAAGAGGAGGAACAGGAGGAGGGAGGAGGAGGAGGAAGAGGAGGAGGAGGATGAGGAAGATGAGGAAGGAGGATGAGGAGGAGGAGAGTGGAAAAGGATAATCAGCAATGTGATGATGTGGAGAAAGGAGGGGGAGGAGAACAAGGATGAATCTATTCCTGAGGATGCGGAGGAGGGAGGATGATCATGAGGATGTTGAGGGGGCGCTGACAGAGGGTCGGGCTCTCTAAGGATGGGCATGATGCGCCCGGGCATGCCGAACATGATGATGGGCGGCAAGGCATTGCGAGCCGCAGCGAGGGGTAGTTGTGCCAAGGGGGAGGAGGACGACGACGACCACGACGACTACGATGGTGCTGATGATGACGACGATGATCATAGTGCTGCTGATGATGATGGTCATGGTGCTGCTGATGATGCTGCTGATGATGATGGTGATGATGGTGTTGGTGGTGGCTCTTATGGTGGTGGTATTGATGATGGTTATGACGACGACGACTGTGATGATGATGGTAACACTGATGACGATAATTATGGTGATGATGCGGATGATGCTGCTGATGATAATGATGATAGTTCTGGTGATGATGATAATTCTGATGCTGCTGGTGGTGATGATGGATGATGGGGATGATGATGGTGATGATGATGCTGATGATGATGGTGATGATGATAATGATCGTGGTTGTGGTGATGGTGATGATGCCGACGATCATTCTGGTGATGATGCTGCTGCTGATGACGACGATGATGATGATGCTGACGATGCTGATGAATCTGATCATGATGCTGCAGCTGATGATAGTGGTGATGACGATGCTGATGAGGGTTCTGAAGGTGATGGTGATGGTGATGACGACAATGACGATGACGATGATGACGATGATTATGCTGCTGCTTATGATGCCGCTTATGCTGATGCTTACGTTGTCGATTATGCTATTGGTGGTGGTGATGGTGATGATGATGATGATGATGATGATGGTGGTGGTGGTGGTGGTGCTCATGATGATGCTGCTGATGATGATGATGACGATGACGATCACGATACTGCTGTTGATGCTGCTGATGCTGCAGCTGCTGATGCTGCTGATGATCAAAGTTATGCTGATTGTGATGATTATGTTTCTGCTGCTGGTGGTGATGACGCTGATGCTGATGATGAGGATGACTGAGGATGGGGAGGATGAGGTCGATGATGAGGATGATGAGGGCAGCAGTATTATGATGTGATGATGGGGATGATTGTATGGACGGGGGGTGGACGACGGGGAGGAGGAGGAGGAGGAGGAGGAGGAGGAGGAGGAGGGGGAGGAGGAGGAGGAGGAGGAGGTGGAGGAGGAGGAGGAGGAGGAGGAGGAGGAGGAGGAGGAGGAGGAGTAGGAGGAGTAGCATTGTGTTAGAGCTGATTAACTTGGTGGATGCGCTTAGGGATAGACTGAGTGGTTACGTGGAGGGGACGGGAGGGGGTGGAGGAGGAGGGGGAGGCGGTGGAGGAAGCGGAGGAATAGGAGGATAAGGACGGTGGAGCGGGGGGCGGGGTGGTATAGGAGGAAGAAGGCGGACCATGGACGAGAGAGCAAGTATGGATAGATGCACGCAGAGGCGGAGGGGGGATGAGGTGGAAAAGGGAGGCAGGCATTGTCCCTCCCTGCCTCCATCCCCTTCCCTTCATGCTGAAAAGTAGCAGCATTATTACAGAGGGAAAACACTGATGATGAGGAGGAGGGTGTTGAGGAGGACGAGGGGGGGGGATCAGGGTGAGGAGGGAGGAGTGACGATAGGGTGCGGAGGTATTGATGAGGGAGCCGGTGGGGAAGGGAGGACGGATGAGAGATGGAGAGGGCGAGGAGTGAGGGGATACCAGGGGTGTGAGGAGGTAAGGGGGTGTGGGGTATCGGAAGAAGGGGCATTGAAACGAATATTGTGAGCAGGACGATGAGGCGGGAGGAGGAGGAGGAGTAGGAGGAGGAGGAGGAGGAGGAGGAGGAAGAAGAGGATGAGGTTGAGGAGAACGAGGGCGAGGAGGAGAAGGAGGAGGAAGAAGAGGAGGAGGAGTATGAGTATGAGTGTGACTACAAGGCGGCGTCTTACCGAGAAGGAGGAGGATGAGAAGGAGAAGGAGAAGGAGAAGGAGAAAGATGGTGGTGGTGAGGAGGAGGAGGAGGAGGAAATAGGAGGGAAGGATCATGATGGATCAGGGGGGGTGCGTGACCTGTCCAGTCCAGAGAGGAAGCGGGAGGGAGGAGGGACGAGGGCGGGTGGACCCCGGCATCCGCCAACATGATCATGTTGCCGACCCTCCTGTAGTGCTGGGCCCTCGTTTCAGCAGCTTCCCGCGTCCTCACCTCCCTCCTCCCCCTCTCTCCTTCCTCTTCGTCGTCATCATCATCACCACCGTCGTCGTCGTCGTCGTCGTCGACGTCGTCGTATCATTATCATCATCATCATCACCATCGTCATACCAATCATCACCACCACCATCACCACCACCACCTCGATCACCATCATCACCACCATCACCATCATTGTAAGCATTATCATTGTCATCCTCCTTCTCATGACCATGATCATGATCATCATCACCATCACCATAATTTCAATTATCACCATCACCATCATCACAATCATCACCACGATCACCATCACCATCACCATCATCATCACCCTAATCTTACTCATCTTTAGTAGCGTTACCACTATCATCACTAGCATCATCTTCATCAGCATTGTCATTCATATCAGCATCACCATGAGCAGCATCACTATCATTGTGGCCATTCCGGAGTTTCGGCACACCCCTTGCACATTTCGTGGCCCCGCAGGAGGCTCCACCCAAGGCCCCAGTGGGAGGGTCTGCATGCCACCACCGCACCTATTTTGGCAGAACCCTCACACGAGTCGCGGCCTCATAGGGAGCTTCACCGAAGGCCCCAGTGGCACGGTCCGCATGCCAACACCGCACTCAGTTCGGCGCACCCCTCACATGATTCTTCGTTTCATATGGAGCTTCATCGAGGGCCTCAATGAGAGTACCCGCATGCCACCACTGCATTCATGTCGGCACACCCCTCACACGATTCATCGCCCCATGGGGAGCTCCACCGAGGGCCTCAGTGGGAGGGTCCGCATGCCACCACCGCACCTATGTCCTCACAGTCCCTCACACGCTTCGTCGCCCCATAGGGAGCTCCACCGAGGGCCTCAGTGGTAGGGTCCGCATGCCACCACCGCACCCATTTCGCACATCCATCACACGTGTCATCGACCCATAGGGAGTTCCATCGAAG